TGACCCTGAAGTGTTCTTCAATATTCTTCTACCGCCTATCATCTTCCATGCTGGCTACAGCTTAAAAAGGGTACAGTATATCATATAAAAAGTCAACATTTATTAAATACATATTTTCAGTATGTATTTGGCTCTTAATTAAATAACTTCATGTTTTGAATATGAAATTTTAAAAGTCCATTTGTGGTCTCTTTATAGACCGCAGGGGTTTACGTATTCTTCTAGATGAATAATTTATTTTATAGTATGTAGGCATTTGGTTGCTGATCCGGTAACTCTTCTGTGTTTCAGAGACATTTTTTTCGGAACATGGGATCCATCCTGGCTTACGCCTTTCTCGGGACAGTCATTTCCTGTTTTATTATTGGGTAAGAGACTTAATTTGCAATTATTACAAAAAATATTTTATTATTAAAAAAAAAGCAAAAACATGAAAGCCATTCATCCTTGTGATTTTACATCCCTTGTGCAACTCTGCACATTTAAAGTTATTGTTGTTTATGATGGACAAAACCACCTGCTCTTCCTTTTCTTCCATCAGGTTGCTGATGTATGGCTGTGTGACGCTAATGAAGCAGGTGGGCCAGCTGAATGGAGACTTTTTCTTCACTGATTGCCTGTTTTTTGGGGCCATTGTCTCTGCCACAGACCCTGGTACATATGATTTTTCTCAGATTTAAAAGTTTTCTTCTACTAACTCAAAGCACATTGTTACATATATTAACTAAAGTACTGTGCTAAATGCCTTTCCACCACCACACTGCATCCAGTAAAAGTGTTCTTGACCAATAGTTGTGCTGAAGGTTTTTCAAAGGGTTTTTTTTTTTTTTTTGGTTTTTTTTTTTATTAGAGTTGACTGCTTTTTTACTAATTTTCAATCTTTATACCCCGGCGTTTTCAGCTGTTTTTATGTTTGTTCAACACCTTGAGACTGAGCCGTGAATAATTAAAGTGAAAAATGTATGTAATTCAAAGAATGAACCGGTTTTGTTTCTACATTACTTAACAAGGAGTCCACATGCTGTTATTCAAAGCCTCATAAGAAATGGTAGGGGAATAGAGATAAAAGTTGAGGTATGCCTCATTCAACTGGACTGAAATCATTACCAAAAAAGTCTTATTGGGTGATGAATTCAGATTTTAATTTTTTTAAGTTGTAGCCATTGTCAGTGGGTATGGAGGAGGTCAGGAGAGAGGTGCAAACGTGAGTGAGTCTGATCTGTCTGATTGGCCAGGACTTAATTTTTCAGCATAACATGGATCACAAGCGCACCGCCAGTGCTATACAAGCATACTTGGATAGAAAAACTCACAATAGAACACTGTCATGGATCAACCTCCCCAGAGCCAGAACCTCAACATTATTGAGGCAG